GTTAAAGTATCTTTATATATGTTTACTATTGCTTTCTACCTACAAGCATATATTCTGAATTACTACTCTATTGTCTAAGTTCATATATATATTCTGACTTGGTGTTATAGATCATGTTTTAGAAGTGTCTGAGTTCTGGGATCCCTGGGTGGCGCAGCGGTTTGGCGCCTGCCTTTGGCCCAGGGCGTGATCCTGGAGACCCGGGATCGAATCCCACGTCAGGCTCCCGTTGCATGGAGCCTGCTTCTCCCTCTGCCTGTGTCTCTGCCTCTCTTTCTCTCTCTGTATGACTATCGTAAATAAATTAAAAAAAGTTAAAAAAAAAAAAGAAGTGTCTGAGTTCATATATATATTCTGACTTGGTGTTACAGATCATGTTTTAGAAGTGTAGATTTTAGCAAATCAAATGCTTATTTTAAAGTATTTTTTAATAATAGAAATAAGAAGTAGCAGTGACCTTAGGGATTATCTGGCCTAACTTCTTAATTTTAAAGAGGTAAAGGAAACCAGTCCCAGGGAAATGAAGTGCATCACTTGCTTAAGGCTGCACATTCAGTTAGAGGTGGCACCCTAGTGTCATAATTCGAATCTAATGCTCTCTTTCTCCTATATCACATCCACTGAATCACCTTTTCATTTGGGGTCTAAAATGAGTTTTGGATTATTTTAGATAGAACCCGTATGTAGTGTGGCTTTTTTTTTTCTTTTTGAAGCCTAATACATTTTACTTCCCCAGTCAGTTTTGTATTTATTTAGAAACACTCATACATTTTACTCCATTGTCTTTTTGCAACGGGAGAACCATGAGCATTGTGGGATCGTTTAAACAGGGCAATACCGCCAGTTCACGAGGACTTATTAAGTATTTTCCTATGGGCAGGTCCCCACTGCAATGCCATAGTGGTATAAAATGTTACAATTCCCACCATATCTGCAATCTCAACAAAAGAGGCACGTGCATGTTTTGCTTCCTATGCCCAGAGACTCCTGTCCTATCCATGCTCTTTCCCAGATTTAGCAAAAACCAGTGATGGTGCTACATCTTTTCTTTCTTTCTTTCTTTCTTTCTTTCTTTCTTTCTTTCTTTCTTTCTTCTTTCTTTCTCTTCTTTCTTTTTTTTTTTTAATTTCAAGGGAGAAAACACTGGCAGAATTGTGTTTTCTAGGGAAAGCTGTGTGTAAATGAGAAACAGAGAAGAGCAGCAGAGTGATCTCCTGTGGCCCCGCTACTACAAGCACTCCCCATCTTGTCTCATGCTTTTATATTAATTACAACTTGCATTATCAGCTGTGAGTCTGTAGCCCAGCAAATAGAAAGTACTGCCCCTGGAGACCTAGCTTCTTATATCTATTTTCCATCTCCTTCTATTGTGTTCCACTCAGTATTCACTGCTTTTCTCCTGCTAACACTGCTCTTTAACACAATTACGTCAGAGCAAGAAGAGAACCATATTTGACTCCCAATTATTAAAGCCACTGGGAATAGAAACATGTTCACTCCTTGCCCTCGGGTGTCTTCATGATACTTCGGTTGGAGAACAGGACGCATGTAGTGGAATGCATGTACCTGAGTGCTCACCCACACTCAGAGAGCATTTCTCTGTATTTTGTAACATACATCATGTGTTTCACCTGCTTTCATCCGCCACTTTGGTTTCAAAATTCACTAAACTTCTGCATATAATTTGGCAGAAAGCCAGGCAGTTATTCTTGAAGGATGTAAATTTGGAGAGCATCTAGGGAGGAAGAAAGAGGTTGTGATACAAATAAATATTTCAGTCTAGGGGAAAAAAAAAAAAAACAGTGTTATGGGTAAAGGGTTATATTTTATCTGTCCATGTAGATTGTGGTTTTCTATGACCAGGAAGGTAGCAGTTTTTTATGAACCAGATTATCAGCGTTTGTCTTTGGATATGATCAAGTCACCATGGTGTAGCTGGATATGGACAACTTTGGGGTAACTCCGCAGCCCCGAAGCCCCAGAGAAATCCATCTGTTTTTTTCTACTTTCAAATGAGATGAATGCCATGGTACTTCTGAGTTTGTGTCAGTCTCTCAAATGGGTCATGATACTCGAGACATTCTATGGAAATAAACATCCTCTGACACTTGTTGGGGACAGCATTTTTGAGGATGTGAGGGAGGAAAGAGGAGAGACAGGGGCGTGGTATGTTAAATAGTAAGCAGGAGCAAATTTTAGGACCTGGCTGAAAAGCCAAAGACCCAAGTCGCTCAGAGGAATCAGCTGCCTTTAAAGTAATATTTGCTTATATGGCTAATTTTTCACCCCTTCCCTTTAGGAAGCACCCCCTCCAAAAACCATTGAAGGAAGTTAAACTGAATTGTACATTAATAAGGTCTGTCTTTAAAAACTCGGCACAGGTTTGACTGTTCAGGACAAACCAGTATTTTCAGTTGCAGGAAGTCCTTTTGAGCAGCAGCTTCAAGTCACTGTAGTGCCCAAATCAAAAGATTTGTCCCAGCTTCATTTGAATGATGATATAATGGTTGTTGGATGACATTTACCTTAAAACATAGTTGAGATGTTAGTGGTTAATTATTGTAATTTTCATGAGGGATAAGGAGCTTTTATAGCAGCTGCTTAATAAAAAGCCTGCAGTGCATAAAATTAACATCACTTACTGTATACACTGAGAAGTTTAGCCTAGGCCAAGGTGATTCAGTTATTTCATTTTCTGATAGAAGGCTCTAGCCAGTGTTCTTGTAGGACCAACTCATGCCATGCTTTTCTCTTCCTTCCCCTCTCTCTTTCTTTCTTTTCTTTCTTTCTTTCTTTCTTTCTTTCTTTCTTTCTTTCTTTCTTTCTTTCTTTCTTTCTTTCTTCTTTCTTTCTTTCTTTCTTTCTTTCTTTCTTTCTTTCTTTCTTCTTTCCTTTTTCTTTTCTTTTCTTTCCTTTCTTTTTCTCTCTTTCTTTCTTTTTCTTCCCTCTCTTTCTTTTTTTTCACGTAATTCTTCTAGCTCTTTATCTGATTACCATCCAGCGAACAGCTGACATGAAGAGGCTGCAAAGCTTGAAGAGCCCCTGTATTCTTTTTTTTTTTTTTAAGATTTTATTTATTTATTCATGAGAGACACAGAGAGAAGGCAGAGGTACAGGTAGAGGGAGAAGCAGGCTCCGTGCAGGGAGCCCGATCTGGGACTCGATCCCGGAAATCCGGGATCACACCCCGAGCCAAAGGCAGAGGCTCAACCTCTGAGCCACCCAGGCATCCTGAGCCCCTGTATTCTATTTGCCTTTAGCTTAAAACTATGGGAGTGGTTTCTAACTTAAATAAAAAGAAGAATCACAGGCATGACTTTGTCCCAACACAGGCAACACAGAACCTTGATTTTCATTTTGTTCTACTCCATTCTCTGATCTGCTTTCTAAAACATACCTTTAGATATCCAGGCCTGTGCTGTATTTATGGCCATAAGATTTCTGCTTAGGATTTTCACTTTGAATCAGTTGCTTGTCTGGTAGCAGTGCCAGTACCATTAATTGATATGGATATTACTGATCTATAGAGTTTGGGGTCATTTCATCATCTTTCAAAAATGCTGAATGTGAATTTGCAGTTTGTAGACCTGTAGAGGGAAGAAAAGGGGGCTTTGTTGTTGTTGTCCCAATTAAGAATAGTCCATTATTTTTGTCTCACAATGGTTTCTTGATTTTATTTTGATATAATTTTATAGTCTATATATACATTAGAGTTGATGTAGAAGAAAATGATGGACTGAATTTCTTTTTCTGGATAAACTATATATAATGACACCATGGCAAGATTGCTTTCAGATGGTCAAGATGTTTGCATGTTGCCTATAGGCATGTCTGAATCCTTATTTACCAATTCTTATGAGAAGGAATTGCATAGTCTGAGAGACTGATGTTGTTTTATTTTGTTCCCAAAGAATCTCCCTGCACCCCACCCCCACCCCCATGTAAGAATTTGCTCCCAGGAGATCTTTGGGCTTAGTTGAAGTCATCACATGCAGGTGACAAGTGTACAGCTCTGGCCTTAAGGCTGGTATGTTTCATGTACTGTTCCTACTCTCAGTTTCTGCCAGAGGAAATTCCATCTCTTGCCTGCCTTCATGTGGTGCTGATAAAGTCCTTCCTGTACATTAGAATTCCTGTTTTCCTTTAAGCAACAGCAGGGGATTGGGAATGATCAGGAAAGGGGAGGAGGAACAGGAGAAGAATACACTCAGCAAAGTAGCATGAGCTATAATTTCTGTTTGCCTCGCATGTCCTTTGAAATCAGTCATGCTTCCAGGAAAAAAAGCACTGCCCTGTGAATGTAAAGCTTCCATGGAGCTCACGTGAAAGTCCTGTCCAGTTTGTCAGATGGCTGACAGTTCATAGTTGTTTCATTTTGTTCATGAGTATCACTGTATCTGCTGGTTGTATAGTCAGTTGATAATTTTCAGAGTTCATTCAGGTTGGTTTAGGTCAATGCATCCAAAAGATGCAAAGGCTACCCTAGACTTTCTTGGATCTGTGGTTTTTTGTTTTTGTTTTTGTTTTTTAAGGGAGTCATTGGGTTTTGTAGAAGTTCTGTAATTACTATCCAAGAGTACTGGCCTCTTTCTTGGAAGAGTGTGCTCCAATTAAGACAGCAAGAGTAGACCTGACTTCTAGATTTGTAAAAAGCTCTTTTTTCCTGACTTTAAAAATTAACTTTATTGAGGTATAATTTGTGTGAAGGAATAGGACCCCTATTAAGTGTCTGTTTCAATTAGTTTAAACACATGTAATGTATACACCGATGTAACTAACCATCACTTCATCAAGATTCTAGAGACTCTTTTTGTACTTTTGCTACCTATCCCTGAAAAGACAACATACCATAAGTGTGGGATCGATACATGCATAGTTCTACAAATACTAACATGCATACATTTTTTTTTTTTGTCTCCGCTTCTACACCTTTCCTGTTGGTTCCTCACTTATGGACGAAATGGTAACTGTGGAAAAATCTCTTGGCATCCTGACATCAGAATCCTGCATCCTGGCGAGATCACGATGATGCAACCTCCACCCACTCAGCAGGCACCCCAGGGCCCTCCAGTGGGGGCCATGCTTCCCAGAGCGGAGACAACAGCAGTGAACAAGGTAAAAGGTCAAGGATTTTCCTTGTACAAAGTAGATGTAACTAAAATAACTTCAGTATTTTGTGATATCGGCACATCTATCTCCCTGTAAACAGGAGAGGGGCAGGGTAGAGAGCTGGTACATATTTCCTCTCAACTTATATTACTTAAAAAAAAAGTCAAAGTGAGATGTCTAATCTTTAAGTAGACATTACAATAACAATTGATTAGTTCTGCCAATTCTTTTATAAATTTGGTTATCTACACTTTACTTCTGTGTGTGAGTAAATAGAATGACAGGCTTACTTTGCTGCTATTATGCACTAGTTGGAATTATTCTATAAGCAGGAGATTTTGTTTGCAATATTGACTATAGTACTTCTCTGTAATCAGGCAATGATGCCTCTAATGCACATAAAATGCCAAAATATGTTCCTATGAGCTCTAGAAGTACTGTGTGAATTTTATATGGAATTTTATCTTGGGAAGATGGATTTTTGAAGTTCTTAGATCATTTGTCTCCATTTCCATCAGCTGACATGGTGACTTTTGTCACAGATCCTGAAAGTTAGAATAATCAGAGGGCAAGGGGGATGTCAACTTCAGATGACAAGGAAGCTGAGCGTGATTTAGAATAAATTTTACCATTTAAAACTCATCTATTGCACAGAGAGCAATTATATATTGGTAGGGATGACTCTTCTATAACTAAAATGATAATTTAAAGGAGGATGCATTATTGAATGTGGGCCAGGAAAGTATATAGATTTTACTTTTTAATATTTTACATTAGATGGTGTCTGATCTCCTAGGTCTATTTCATCTCTATTATGACTGTGTTTATGGCCACAATATTTAAGCATTAGACAGTCTTCCAAGTGGAGGACAGTATAACAGCTTGAGCAGTAGTCATACATGCCATTTGAAAGAGGGTGGTTGATGTAGGGTGAGTGCCTTGACTCCTCCAAGTTTCTGGCCACAGATGTTGGATTCCTAGTATTCAAGAAGAGTATAGAAAGAAACTTCTCTTCTAGGATGTCATTAACTGTGAATAGGTCCAAATTAGAATCTGGGTTGTTTGCAACTGATAAAGAAATGAAAATCCTCAGGTGGTAAATTGTGGAAGAACTTGGGAATTATATCTATTTAGGCTAAAGACCTACTGTCTTTATTAGGCCAGTTAGATTGCACATGAGAAAATCAAACTGGAAGGTGTGTTGGAGATGGGGTGTACATAAATTCTTTGGATCTGCAGAGCAATGGCTTAATTGTGGTTTCATGTCATGGTGATGGACTTCTCTGTGCGGTTAAATCTGGAAAGCTTTGAACGACTCCACCTTCCCTACCACTTTTAACTGCTGTAGCACAAAGGGTGAAATGTATCTATTAATAAAAACAAAACACCCTAAACACTGGACAAAAGAGGGGGAAAAGAGAAGCAGACTTAATGGTCTAATGAGGCTATCTTCCAAAGACTTGTTGTGTGTGAGGCTCGCTTTGACCTTTCACTTTGCTCAGGAGCCCAGCGCTTCATTTTTCACATTCTTGCAATTACGTTAACGCTTCAAGCATTTCTGACTCCAAGTCAGCTAGCAACACCAGGCATAACTCAACACTGTGAGTTTTTCTCCTCTCTGTAGATTCATTAACAGGTCACGAAGGTCCCAACTGAAATTTAAAACTGACTGGTTCTGTTGGGTTGGTTGAGTTATGGCAGGGGAGATAGCAGGAAAGGACCAGAGAGAAGGGGAGGGGGAGAGAGAAGACCCTGGGGTTTGGAGCTTGGGAACAGTTACAGCAACAGGCAAGGCATGGAATTATAGTATTCTGGTTAGTTTAGTTTTGTTGTTTTTGGCCAGAAAAGGGAAAAGTTCTGAGCCGGATACCCTGGGTAAAAGCGAGGTACACAAACCTCTCTGTTGTGGGTAGCTGCACCCACTTATCCCATGTTGAAGGATGTGATCCCTGTAGGATTTTGTTCCTTTTATCCTATCTCCGTGGGATTAAAGAATGGACATGGTAGCTTATGTGTCCTGAGTATAGTGGGAAGTCAGTCATGTTATTGTATTAAAGTGTGAGGGACAAAAAAAAGTTACGATTCCTGTGAAATGGGGAATGTTCTGGCATGGAGAATTTCCTACCTGGCTTACCACATTAGTGGTTCCCAAGCACATGTTTTAGGGTATTCTGTTTGTTACAAGCAGACTAAATTTTCAAGGCCAGGCTTGGATGTATTTTGTCACACTCAGGCCTATATTAGTCTTCGAAACATGTATTTAAGTTATTTTGAAATTGGGCCCACTGAATTGTCCGGAGTAGCTTTCTGTGGGAAAGATTAATTATCTGCTTGAGGCAAAGTCAACAGAGTTATTGACTAAAATCACATATGCTTATCCTAGGTTAAATCTTAGGGTTGATGTAGAATGGAAAACCTAGGAGGGAAATTTATGTTCCTGGTATTAAATATATTATAATGTTTCACTGGAAACCAAGTTCATAGTTTAGAAAAGAGTTTTCTTGCGTATTCAGAATTTATTAGCACAACAGGCATATGGAAAACTGTAAAACGACTCAGTTTCAAAACAAATTATGATAAACAGAAAAAATAAGGATGAATTGTACTAAATACAATGTTTTCATACACATTTTAAATTAAACTTTAATAGCCATATGCTATAAAACAATACATGCATTTATGTTACTTTATATTTTTTTGTGAATATTTTTACTAACATGATTCATACACATCTTTATTTTGGAACCTAAAAATACCACATTTTATGACTTGATAGTGAAAGAGCTATAGTTACACAGGTGAAAGGTCATCTTTTCCTCTCTAGTGTTTGTGTGATGAACCAAATAGAGGGAAAAAAAAATCAAATTTTAAAAATATTGTAAGAAACAAACTTGGTAAAATGTAAAACCTGACTTTACTATATCTTTCAAACAGCACATGCCTAGCAGTAAACTATACAAATATGAACCAGATTTTCATTCACTCTGATTTCTTTTGCTAAAAGCAGCCAAAGGGAGGGAGTTTGTCTTGTTAGTCACATTAGAATGAAGAAGAAATCTGTTTTTTCAGGGATAGAATTAGGGTACAGACTGGGGACTCTGGGGCAGTAACTGGCCTTCTTTGTGTCTGGCTTCCCATCAGTAAAATGGGGTTTGATAATAAGGCTTGGGTTCCCTAATTCTGTACCTGCTGAGTCAAAAGCTGCTTTGTATTTCATTGTGTATTTTGCCAGAGTAAAGACTAGGAAGCAGCCCCCTTGTTCATAGAGCACTTTGAGAGCCTTAGATGAAAGGCACAATATATGTACAAAGTATTATTATTATTGATGGGTTTGTGTAACTCCCATTAACGCTGATGGGAGTTACGCATGTGAATTGGCAAGAGAATAGACCCCTCAGTGTTTAGAGCACATGAAATTTACATTTTTTCCAGTGCTGTAATTGAGATGTTGACAAATTGGAGAATATTGATGAGCCTTTGTTTTAAGTATTTCGTGCCAAGTTTGTTTTATTTTTCCGGGTTTGAACAATGGTATGGGTTCAGCAGCAATGAATAAAAAGGGTAGAGTAAAGATAACTTTGTATTTCAATATTTTGATGTGCCAATATGAAATAAATTGTCTTAGGCAAATGGAATATGCTGTTTTAATCATTAGCTATGCATGAAAGAAAAATTGATGTTGACATCTTTGCTGTAAAATCGTTGTAATGGGGCCTTCCTTACAATTCATTTTTGTAAAATTCATTTTGTACATTTTGCAGCAATTGAACAATCCCTGCACTGTGAATAGGCAGGATTCCCAGAAATACCGAGACAGTTGGCCCAGTAACTGCTGAGCTCACACTGAACACCACACGCACGTTAACCATACTGTTGCCAGACCAGTTTAACCTAAATACATTAGCATACTAGCATCTATATGTCTCTAATCCTTCAGGGCATGGGGCTCTACAAGCCAGCATAATTCCCCGGCCCTCTGTCACTGACCAAACCCTCCCACTGACGTCCTCAACGATGAGCCAGACCAATAGGACTATTATTCTATAGCTAGATATTTATTTATGTATTATGCAGTTCTTCACCAGTCACGGTGTCGAAATCTAAAAATAGCCCTTTATGTTGAATGTGTTTATAGGGAAGCAGGCATCTAAGAGAGTATTACGCTTTAATGAGTTTATAATGCGTACTATAGGTATGAAATAGGTTTCTCCCCCACCAGAATCTTCCAGTTAGACATTTAAAGGAGGGAGGAAAAACCTCCAACCGACCTACGGTGGGTCCTGATTCTGCTCTACTGGGATTTCTTATTCAGTCTAGGAAAACTCTGTCAATGGAATGTTTTCATAGTGGCGGCAATTTCTTTAAAATAACCCTAAATACAATATGACAGATGCCATCTGGCATAATCTTTTGCGAGTTGCTTTTAACTTTTATTTTTCCTAGAGCTAAGTTCATCCAAAACTGGTCACTCACTGTTATGATAAGTAAATGACATTTCTTTTTCTTCCTGTCTTCCTAATTGTATATCAAAGAAAAAAAAAATCTCTGAGAATGTAATTGATAATTGAACATTCCCATAGAAGAAGCTGTTGTATATAGAATATGTTGCATTTTTTTTACTCTGCTGCCCGCTCCCCTCCACCCACCCCACCCCGGCCATAAAGTCAAAAGAATACCATCCTTTAACCATCAGCAAACATCCAAATGATTTCTGTTGATTTTCTCACGACTTTTTAGAATAGTAACCATTAGAAATAAAATTAAACTCTTCTAATAAATAAACGCTCTAGGAGCATGTAATAGTGCCCATAAATGTTTAAAAGCTTTCTATAATTGCTGTTAATTTTGAGTCATTTCTTCCTATATGTATCAACTTACTTGAAAAACCCAGAGTTGAGAATTCTAGATTTTTTTTAACTTAGTCATGTAAAGGGATGTCTCGTGATGCCAGTTAGAGTTTAATTTAGAGTAGTAATTAAACTTGAATACTGCCTCATAAACAAAAG